TATATATATATATATATATGGCATGATATCAGGAGTATAGGAATAGAGAGTCTATTCATGTACTCCTGATAATATAATTCCATATGGTAGGCTTTCGTATTATTCACCGCCACGCACGCAAATGGCGCGCAGTTGCCCGCGAGCGAGCATCTTTCGCTTCCTCCTCAACACAGCGTCACGTTTTTAGGCAACCACGCCCGCAGCAGTCGCGTGGGTCCGAACAAATGGCAAGACTGCATCGAAACGAATTGCACTTAAAATTATTTACGGCGATGTTGCTGGTTGGAGGCGATTACGGTTCAGATACATACGGGATATTAACATTTACATGGATGACGTATGGTTGTGCTTTCCGGGCATAATGCACGAAAATGGCAACGCTGCGAAGTGCGTTATTCGCATCTGTCGTTTTCTGTTTTGTCGTGACGATTCGGCAATTCGTATAATTCTCTCTTCGCCTTAAACTAAAACAGCTTCGTTACGGAATATATACTATTTCGCGTAAACCACTCAAAACGCCGGACTAGCTTTCCTCGAATTAAAGACTCGTCAATAGTCGACGAGGTTATCCGCTAGTTTTAGCGACTATTGCGTTTTAGCGGCAGCGTTATGGGCGCCGTGGGAGCGAAAGACGCGAGAGATCTTCATCTGTGCAGTTCCCATGCTCATAGCAACGCGCAGTTCCACCGTGTTACAATATACGCGCGCGACCGCAGAGCTGTAAAACGAGCGAATGGACCGATACGATTAAATAATATTTCATTCGCGCCGGAGTTTATATACGGTTGTTTGAATAAGTTAACAACATAAACAATAACAATAATAACATAATAATAACTACAATAACATAACATACGTCGGTCGTGCGGAATGTCGGGGGTGTACGGGTAGGGTGTGAACGTAGCGGCAGTACGTGCGTACTAGCATCGCTTCCCGGATTAAACCGTATATACTCGCTTCTCGCTAAACGCGCTCTCGCCCGACGCCGGAGAAAATGAAATACGAGGCGCATGTAATAATTATCATCATATAAGGACGTCATATGAACATATGAGCGTATATATATATGTGTGTATATATATATATATGTGTGTATATATATATATATATATATATATATATATATATATATATATA